ATATATATATATATATATATATATATATATATATATATATATATATATATATATATATATATATATATATATATATATATATATATATATATATATATATATATATATATTGCATTTCCTCCTTTTTAATATGTATTAACAGAATAAGGTCAGTGCTTGTGGATGGAGCGAAGGTTATGTATGATTTAGGGTGGTTCATAAACAATGCTAAGTCATTTATGAAATGTATGTGCATGTATATGCGCATGTGGTCTTTCACTACGCTTACATCATGTGGATGGGGAGGATAAAGGAAGAGTTTGCGGCTATGAGAGTTGTTCTGTGAGACCGTATTTTATGAGGGAAGATATTAAAAATGTGTGTTGAGTTAATATCATTTCAGAATTTATGAAATAGAATTGATTCATTAATTGGGATGCAATGCTGATGTGATAGAAACAGTGGTGCTGTGCATTTCAAGCATTTTCTAAATACAATATCAACAAAAACATAATAAGAACATTAATAATGTTCAAGCATCCGAGTTTATCAGTTTTTTTTTTTTCAATCAATTGAATTTTCAGGTTTATAATTTTAATTGTATTGCATGGATATATTCTACATTTATTTTAAAGCATTATCTGCATTTGAGATAGCTATAAGGAAAGATAATGGCAAATGTGCATGACTTAAAATGTGCTATTGCACTTAATAAACATTGTAAAATGTGTTCAACTGCAATGTCCTGGAATTAAATGAGCATTTCATGTTGATTGTGGTCTGTGTTTTATTATGAAAATGTGATTATTAAATTACAGGTGAATTCCTGCATATTTTTCTGAATCATTATGACATGCTTATGTCCTGCTAAAATAAAATGTGTTTGCTGTGTTTACTTCTGTTTTGACTGAGGATAAACATTGTGAATCAATGTAAAACCTTACACCCCAAAAACAATTTAGCTGCTTGTTTAAAATACTTACGTAAAGTTAGTCGAAACAACACAATTCTTATGTTTTTTGGAGGACAACTTAATTGTTTTAAGTTTAATCCACTTACATTTTTAAAAGTGATTAAGTTAACTTAATAGATTTGTGTTGACAACATGAAGGAATTGCGTGGAACCCAACATTTTGCACAGTGTATATATTACTAAATAAAGTTTACATTTGAGCAGTCAACAACAACAAATATTGCATTATTTTGGCATTAAACTAACATGCCTTGTTATTATTCTAATTTTAATGATGTGTCTGCTTTCGTAGTCTTGTTTTTGCCACAAAAAAATACCACAATACTTTAGAAATGTGTCACAAATAAAGATGATTTTATGAAATCATAATATGGTGAAGTGTGTTTTGGCAGTGTTGTGTTCCCTCAGCCCCTCCTCTCTCTATTTTTTTCCATGGGAACTCAGGGAAGAGTTGAGGTAAGAACCAGTCTCAACACGACAGCTTCACAATGAAGGCACACAGTCACAACATGAATTTAATTTGGGATAAATGGGATAAAATACAACACGTTTACTGTTCATTACACATATAACTAACGTTACAGTCATGTGAAATGTTGAAACGTCGACCATTTGCTTTGGTGGACAATTTGCTGCAGCCGGGAAATACGATGAGCTTTTCTAATTAATTATAATAAAATACAGTATGCAATAAAGCAGTTTAGCGTGTATATATATAAGTAAAACATCTAGACGGTAGTTTGATCCAGTAGTTTTCCGATCCTCGCCGCATTGTTCAACGGGGAGAGAGATGGAAAAACTTCCTCCGCCTCCAAAACCTAAACCCCAAGCCCACATCGGCTCGCGTTTTTTTCGGGGAGGTTTACAAATAATAATTTCCTCGAAGAAATAATGTTTTATAAAAAACAATTGTTTATGCTGGTTATCTCGTCGCGTCAACACACTCTTTATTGCGATAGTCATAAAACTTAATGAATAGGTGCGTCCCTTGCCGCACCACAGCAGCGGAGCGTGTGTATTCCTACGCACCAATCCTGATTTTACATCCTTCCGAAATGTGACCACATTTCAGTCTTTCAGCGTGCAGCCGTCTTCAGTGCTGCTTGGATTTATATCTCTAAGTCATTGTTGTGTAAGGAAATAGCTGTTGGTTCATTTACTGTAGATATCCAGTGGTACGGGATCTAGTTTCCCTCAAGGCGGCAGGATATGGTATGGGTAGGAGTTTTTATAATGGCTCGCGCACATATGGAGTGACGCCATCTTTCCCTGTGTGCTGCTGCTGCGCGAGCGCGGAGTTCTCGCGCACACATTCACTCTCAGCAGGAGCTGCCGCGCGCTGCGGGTTGTTCTCTCACATTTTCTCAACGGATTGTCGCCATTATTCGCGTTTTACGTGCTGAAAACCGAAACAGGAATATACAGCTTTTGACACAGGTAAGCGGGTTTGCCGATAAAGTGTTCGGTTGCTTATTTTGTATGGAATGTTAGGAGAGAATGTCTCTCTGCAGCTGTGGGGGAATGAGGTGATCAACCAGCGGAAATATTACGGCAAAATCACGACCAAACTACATCTATTTCCACTCGTATGATGGCGGATTTTCTCGACTGTAACATTGTACGTGTTTTAATAAATCTGTAATGGTATGTTTTGATCTCCGAGTTGAGAAATGTGGTGTTTTTGGTGCTAGCCTGGTTAGCATTTAAGGGTGGAAAAGTGTTTTGTGGCGACCACCTAAAATCATCTGCAAACTCCACCTTTTTCATGATTACATCCTAAACGAAATGTATTTAAAACTCAATCACTAGATAAGATGTTTTGCTAATGTTAAATTCCGCAATATCAAACCTCTAAGGTTAACGTTATTCCGAATAGTCGGTTGGGTGGCTATAGATTCAAAGTTGGTCTGTGGTTAACTAACATTAACGTGATATATACTAACGTTAGCTGATTGTTTTCCCTTTACACTCGTCGTTTGTGTATCTAACGTTGTTAAACCCTGGACTTTTTCATTTCCTTAAACTAACGTTGACTTAAATTTGAAGAATAAGTTTGAGGTAACGTGTTTTTGGCACACATGCGTGACACGGCGGTATTACATTGAGCTGCAGCCACTAATCAACTCAGTAAATTCGTGCGTGGTTAAATACCGTAAATATGACCCATTTATAAGTTTCTGAGTAAGAAACAAACAAAGGCATTTAAAGTGTTTGGCCGTTGAGAGGAAGTCGAGGAGGAGCCTGAGTGAAATCTGACTCTGCTGGAGCTCGTGCTGATGGGGGTGGGGATCATCGCTGCGCGCACACGGGCTTTGCGGACGGGCGCATACCCCATTAAACATCACTCCCAAACTCTTTAACAGTGAGTTCATCATAGTTAAATTCATTATTAGTAAGCATTTAACATTCTCAAATGCCTTTTTAACACACTGCCTTATTTTCTGCAAAGATATGGGTTTGCATTTGATGCTAAATGGGTTTATTTTTGTTGGCACAGAACAAGCTGCCCCTGTAAGCACAACTGGGAGTTGATTAGTTAATGATTTACGTGGCTTTAAAAGAAAACCTAACCATATGTGCCTTATTCTCCACCTCTGATACAAAGTAAAACTTGAGGCAGTATGCATGGACATGAGACTTTATGGCTGAGCTTTGGTATGTTCAAGTAAATAGATCCACAATGCCAAAAAAAGCTTGTTTTTATGTTACTTTCATTTTTGCTGAGTCTTAACATTAAATTAAATGCACATTTGTGTTGGTAAATGTGTTAATTAAGTGTTATTTTGTGGATTGAGGCTATGATTGATTGTCAAGTAGTGTGTAATGTTGTTTTTCAGGTTATCGCTATTTTGAAAAGTAGAGCTTAAGTAGATTTGACCAAATTCAGTGGGTAATTTTCAATATTTACTAAAAAAAGTGTTTAAAAGCCTTTTAAAAGATAATGTTAATGTTTTCTTTTTTTTAAATGACTATAATTGATATCAGAGTTAATAAAATGCTTTTTGGGGTGTACATTTTCAAGTGCCAGCACTTTTAGAAGTCTTTAATATTGTAGTTTTCTTTTAATAAAGTGTCTATTATGTAAGTGTCTTAATAAATAGAGTCTATGTTCATTGTATATACACATAATGCTCTTCATCTCTGTTTACTTTTAAGTTTCTGTCTGTTATACAGGAAATGCAGTGTGTTTTGCAGTCGCAGTACACAATACGCAATGTATTCTGATGTATACGTGTGAATGTGTGCAGACTTTTACAGCATCTCTCATCACGGTTGACACATTTGGAGCAGACGTGTAGTATAGGATGTTCCTCGGAGCAAGCAAAACTGAGATCTTTTGAAATGCTCCGCACAATAGGCAGATTTCTGAAATCGAATGCGGGTGTTGAAATCGCCATCTAAGCTGCCATGCCCCTGGTCACAACAGGCACTTAGCCTGAGCCATTTGGGTGGTATTTAAATTCACATGCTGTCTGAATGCCAAGGATTACAAACAAATGCCTTCGTCTTCTCAAGCCTCCTCGGGTTTCTGTGGATGAGCCTGTCATGGAGGATGGAATGGGTGCAGGATTTTGAAGAAGTTGTTTTTGGTCTGTTTCAGTATATTTAGTTGTGTACTTTGATGCGAAGCTGTGTGCATGCATATGCGGTGCATATTGAATTAACTATGCATGTTACAACTATGGTTAGAGATATTTATAAATCTGGATGTGCTGTAATGATGGAAAAATGATGAATTTGGTTCAGGCTATTGTTTTATAATGCAGACGTTAGCTTTTACTTGAAATGCTGACTCTGAAGAATGCTTAAGTTTTACTTATGCTGTGCGTAACACAGATTTTTGTGTGTGTGTGTGTCAGGTTGGGAGTCAAATTCAGACTTTGAATAATGAGTACTTGGGTGCAGTTCATTGTTCGAGTTAGGAAAGATAGAACTTTCCACTCCGTTTCCTATGTGGCCATCTCCACCCATGATCCACCTGGCAGAGGTACCAAAACATTGAGATTGGTTTCAGATGTGTGTGAAGGCCGGGCATGGGGATAATAAAACACCCATGGATTCTTCATGCTCAAACCAGCCTGTCTGTGAACTAAAGAAACCAGCAAGAGTCCAATTCAAAAGAGCTCATCCAGAGGCTGTTGTTTTTACCATTTTATTCCATTCGCATGATTGTAAAACCCAACGCTTGAGCTTTGGCAAGGAAAATTGATCATCTAAATACATCCAACATGACCTCACGAGTGAACCGGCAGTGGTTTGTGAGGACTTATTTCCATGCATCATCTCGATTGACTGCGAGCAATAGCACTGTTTAAGTGAAGCTTGTGTGTGGGATTTCTTGGAGGCTGAGGCTCAGTTGGCACCTCATGTTGCGTGCGAAAGAGAGCAGTAATACCGCAGGGGGGTTAAGGCCTGTATGCTGCTGGGTTTATCTCTCCAATTGACTCCAGATGTTGTGAACCGTAGATCGAGTGACTGGCTGACTGCTGTGAAACTCTCGGCAGCCCCAGGCGGAGAGCCACAGCAGCACTGTTTTACACATCGCCTTATCAAACACACTTTCCATGCTCTGCATTCAGAATACTGACAGCTGCCTCCTAGAGGAACTGTCCTCGTTATTGCCAAATATATATGAAATAAGAGCTGACCGTGTCATTTTGGCTGTGTTGACTCAGAGCTGCACAGAATTGAGAGATATTTTGTGTGTGCGTGCGCTTTGGTGTGTCAGTTCCGTTCTCCTCCTGGACCGGGGATTTGTTTTTGCACCTGTGTCGGTCCAGGTGAGATTTCCATTCGTAAAACTAATGCATTCACAACACTACCTGCCTTTGGTTTCCTGTCGAGCTGCAGTGCAGTGTCGGATTAAATATTTTGTTGATGCGATGCATTGAAATCTTGTTCTTCCTGAAGTGCCAAAGATTTTATTTACCCAAGAAACAAAAATAAAATTGATTTGATAATGAACACAGTATAATTAAATTGCACATTGGGCACTTTTTTTTATCAAATTGTTAATGATATGATGATTGTTTTACACTAATGCATTTTTAATGAAATATATAAACATGTAATTAGTAGGGATGCAAAGATTATAGATTTTGGTTGTACGATTAAAGTCAGAGGAATAATCACGGTTATCACGATTATTATGCATTTGATAATTTCAAAATGCTACTAGTTTAGAGAATAAAGTGGAAACTCCTAATATTTTAAAGTGTTCTTTATTGCTGCTCAGTAACTAATACAATACAAAATAATAATAGAAAAAATAAACAATAGTCAATCTGTCCTTGGATTTAAAAATAAGTGGACTTTTTTTTGGCATTTAAACGAGTAATAATTTTACACTGAAAATAAATAAAATAAAATAAATAAAAATAAGAATAAAAGTATAAGCAACATATTAGCCTAATATTTCAAAGAGAACAAATGAAGTCAAACACTGCTAAACCGCTGTCTGAAAGGCACTTTTGATCAACTATATTACAAAATTGTTTGGTATTTTTATTTTGTATTTTTTCTGGAGTAGAAATGGTATATATTCCATACAAAGTGTGAAGCTAATCAGTTTAGTTCTTGTCACGGGACTCACGGTGTGCTCACAACATTCTTTCAACTAGGTGCGCCTGGAAAGCGTGATCGCATCACACTGTTTGCACGTTGCTCCCAATTTTTTTCTTTGGAAATGACGAACTTGTGCACGCAAGAGATGCAACATGTGAATGGCCCTTAGTTAATAGCCTCAGCCATAGTTAATCCTTTGTGCATGGGTATTAGCCTCTGTGTACAAGCTCTGCAAAGTTGGCATAACTTTTTAATTGCCGTTTTGTTCCGGGAAAAAACGCTGTGTTAAGAAGCCATTATGATTAATTAACCATGATGAATTAAACTGCGCCTAATAGTGAAATCATTTAATCATTGGAATTCTGGTAAGTAGTTGCTGTAGTATGAAATATTATGTAAATGCAACTTATTATGTAAGTTGCATTTTCTTAAATGGTTTAGTGTTCGTAACTTAAATAAGACAACTACATTAGTTAATTTTAGGTCAAGTAATTGCTCATTGCCCAGTTATTGTAAATAACCACTATGGCTAAATATTTCATAACGTTTCCTTCAGCATTTGTTTGGATTCTTAATTTGTGATGCAACTATAAGAATGTCTTATCAAGACTAAAATAGAGAATAAAGAATTAAAAATGTTTTTTTGGTCTAACATCATCTAAAATATTTGCACAGACTAAAAAATTTTTAATTGGAATTCAAGATCATCAAAATTATTAAGATTTCAAGATGAACACTTGATATGAGCAATCTATTTAAATAGTCAGTCCAGCCTTAGTAATTTGCACTCTGGCAATCTTTTTATTTTATGGTTGGTCCATTTATTTATTTTTTGTGGCATTCAGATATATACATAAAAATCCTAATAAAAAATCAGTTGTAATTTATTAAAAACCTTTTAGATATTTATAGATTTTCGGTATGGCAAATATCAATATTGATTAATTATTTTCCATACTGAACAATAACGATATATATTTCAATATCAGTTGTTATTGCGTCCATATTTAATTAAAAGAATCATTTATTTAAAATCTTTTAGATATTTATATCTTTCAGGTAGGGTCGAGAGATGTGGCAAAATTGCAGTCACGATGAATTATTTTCCATATTGAATAATAACTATATATGTTAATGCTTTTATATTAAATAAAAAAGTATCCCAACAATGACCGAAGCCATGAAAATTAGACAGTCCATTAAATAACATTTTCAGTGAGGGATAATATTCGGCAGCTGAAAATTCGGTCTAATATTAACACACTTCTAGATTCCCATTGTTGCATGTTTCTGCTGTGTGATTGGCTCTTAGATCAATATAGAGTAAAAAAATAAGTCCAGAGGTTATCATTGTTGTTGAAAATAATGTTATTGTGATTCGATATAATGCCGTTTATTAGCCCAGCCCTACTTTTAGGAAATTTAGTTTAAATCTTTTAGATAATATCTAATTGAATAAGAATTTAAATTACTTATAAATTCAGAACCCCAATATGCCTGTTTATCTGCACCACACATCTGTATTCCAGTCTAGCCTTTCCTTACTTGACCTAATTCAGCTTCTGAACTTGAGTCTGCGTTCAAGAGCCAAATCCTTGCAAAAACTGTGTGAGAGAGAAACTATAGAGCTGAACGCACAAGAAAAGTTATATTTCTTTGAATAATTGCCAAGACCTTGCTACTTCATAATGCTAAACCTCCTGCGGTGGTGTTGCGCATGGAATAACAGCTCTTGAACAGGAACCGCTAAATGTTGACAAGACCTCGCTGAAACGTTCTGCCGGTTGACCTTTCCACATGCTGCAACATGTTTGTGTTTTGTAAGAGTCGTTTGACTGAGAGGAACAGTATGTTTCGCTTGCCGACACAATAGGGAGACTCGGGCAGCCAGTTTCGCTCTCAAGGCTACGTGTGGATGTTGGACAGCTCTGAGAGGGCTCGCATTCTGCCTGCTGACTTGGAGAAAGGGTGTTGTACGTCTGAATAAAGGAGGTGGACTCAGGCCTTGTGTTATGCTAATTCTAGAGGAGGCCTCACAAAAGGAAAGGAGGCCGGGGCCCCCCAGACCCAGACACTGAATTCAGAATGGCTTCAGTAGGTGTTAACTGCTGATGGCCAATTGGCAAGGAATGTCATGCGCATATTGACACTGTTGTGATGGTGGGGATTCTGGCTGAGCACCATACTGAAGGTCATATAAACTTCTGTTGCTAGTGACTGTGTTAAGAAGCCTCCCTGCTTGGAGGAGGAGATGGATGGTTGGAGCGATGCTAATAGCTCAAGCTTTATCATCGTAGTTCTCATGGAATGATCCCAGGTTGTTGTTTTTTTCTGGCTAGAAAAACATTGATTCATGAGGCTTTTTAAAATCATGATTTCATTTGATTTAGACTATTTTATTTCTTTTGAATATTATTAAACATGTGTTTTTTCTCAATTTCTGATGTAATGCTTTTGAAATGCTATATGCAATTTATTGTTTGCATTTCTCAACCTCATCTGTATCAGCTTGGTTGTAAATATTACCTTCTTGTCAATCATATTGACCAATCAAACGATGTTTTGCAGTCAGATCTTAATTTTTTAATGTTTCAATTGGCTGATAAACATTATAGCAGTGTAAATAAGACAATGTTACAACTTCTCAGTCAGCTTTTGAGTTTTCAGAAAGGCTTTGATTTTGTTGCACTGTTTATTGTTCTCTGTGAGTGTTTCCGGGAGGATATTGAGAGACCTGCGGATAATATTTTGTGTGCGTGGTGTGGCACATCCGGCCTCCCTCTTTCATCCCAGCTGCAGTCAGGTTGGGAGACAGGGAGCATTCAGCCTGAACACTGGGGCTTGTGTGCTGAACGCTGGACCTCTCTGGAATGTGTTTGTGCGTGAGAGAGAGATGGAGTTGAGAGAGTTGGCGCTGTTTGATTAACCATGTTGCTCTGTGTGTGTGTGTTTCAGATTAGTAAGCTGTGCCCGGCTGTGAGAAAATCATGGCTACCCAGTGTAAGTTCCCTTTACATTTCTTTTTCACCGTTTTAAAAACTTAAATGGGTTAAAGTGACGGGTTATCCATTTTTTTATGTGCAGCTGACTTGATGGAGCTGGAAATGGCCATGGATCCGGATCGCAAGGCTGCAGTCAGCCATTGGCAGCAACAGTCTTACCTGGACTCAGGAATCCACTCTGGGGCCACAACTACTGCCCCGTCCCTGAGTGGCAAAGGCAACCCGGAGGATGACGATGTGGATAATCAGGTGCTTTATGAGTGGGAGCAGGGCTTCAACCAGTCCTTCAACCAAGAGCAAGTAGCAGGTGTGTGGCCATTCTGTTGCTTTAGTGAATATCTGAGAATTAAATGTGTAGGAAAATAAGTATTCTGTTTACTTAAAGGGATGGTTCATTCAAAACTGAAAATTCTGCCATTATTTAGTCATCTTTTACTTGCCACAAACCTGTTTGAGTTTCTTTTTTTTTGTTAAACACAAAAGAAGTAGCTTTGGATGATGTTGGAAACCAGAAACCATTGACATCCGTAATAGAACAAAAAAAAAAGATACTACGGAAGTCAGTGATTACAGGTTTCTAACAATGTTGAAATCTTTTGTGTTCAACAGAAAAATAAAACCATCAAATGTATCATAGGAACCATTTAAGGATGAGTAAATGTTCAACTTGCAGTTTTAGATGAATTATCCCTTTAATATTGAGTCAAACCTGTTTATTTAAACACTAATCTGCATCACATTAGGTGATTCAAAGCAATCAGGAGACAATTTCTCATTATTCTGGCTTCTTTTCTATATGGGATTAACTATTGCTTGATATTTTAAAAGCATTTATAGATGTTTTTTTTTATTGACTGTGTAAAAGCAAGTTTCTTAATCTAGTACTGTGTTCTCTGTAGACATCGATGGTCAATACGCCATGACCAGAGCCCAGAGAGTCCGGGCGGCCATGTTCCCGGAGACTCTCGATGAGGGCATGCAGATACCTTCCACACAGTTCGACTCTGCGCATCCCACCAATGTCCAGCGCCTGGCTGAGCCCTCGCAGATGCTCAAACATGCCGTGGTCAACCTCATCAACTACCAGGACGACGCAGAGCTGGCCACTCGTGCCATTCCAGAGCTCACCAAACTACTGAACGACGAGGATCAGGTTGGAACCAGTACTGATGATCAGAAATGGCTAATTCTGTGACGCCATCAGATGCACTAATGGATGTTCTTCTATCCTCATCAGGTGGTGGTTAATAAGGCAGCTGTGATGGTGCACCAGCTCTCCAAGAAAGAGGCCTCTCGTCACGCCATCATGCGCTCCCCACAGATGGTATCGGCCATTGTGAGGACCATGCAGAACACTAATGATGTAGAAACAGCCCGTTGCACCTCTGGCACCCTACACAATCTTTCCCACCACAGAGAAGGACTGCTTGCCATCTTTAAATCAGGAGGCATCCCTGCCCTCGTCAAAATGCTCGGGTTAGTTCTCTCTGTTTTCAAGCAAACTGACAAAATATATACAGTAATCAAAGTAGAATTCAATACCTATTAAGAACTTACAATTGAGACTTTCAACACATTTTAAGACCCTATTTACTAAATACTGATTGCAGTTTTACCTTATTACATGAAAGGTTCATAAGAAAGAGTAGGCCTGCCAAGATATCTATTGCACTACAATGTAAACAATATATTATTGTTTTAAGACCATTTTATGCCACTCTTTATATAATGCCAGAATGACAATATAATATCGTAATGCAGGAACACTTTACCAAAGAACACATAATATTTAATTACATTTAATTAGTCATTTTAACAATTTATTAATTAGGCATTGGAAATGTGAATGTGAAAATGTAACATCTTAAGCAAATAATAAATAATAAATGTTAACAAAAATGTACAAAGAACTAAAAAATAGTGACAGATCTATTTTCAGTTGTTCGACACGCTCATGAATGTATGCTATCGTAATTTATAGTAAATACTACACTGTTTTTTTTTTAACCATACTGACACCTCCAGTAGAGATAGAGATGTTGCGCCATCAGCTAAAATGTTCTTTATGTATGGGCGATATATATTGCATCACCAAAAATGATTGCGGTCATGGCCATGTGTGGCAGCATAATGGCGCAGTGGGTAGCACAATTGCCTCACAGCAAGAAGGTCACTGGTTGGAGCCCCAGCTGGGTCAGTTGGCATTTCTATGTGGAGTTTGCATGTTCCCCCCGTGTTCGTGTGGTTTTCCTCCTAGTGCTTCGGTTTTCCCCACAAGTCCAAAAACATGTGGTATAGGTGAATTGGGTAACCTTAAATTGTCCGTAGTACATGTGTTTGAAAGAGTGTGTATGGATGTTTCCCAGTGATGGGTTGCAGCTGGAATGGCATCACCTGCGTAAAACATTCGCTGGATAAGTTGGTGGTTCAGTCCCCACCCATCAATTGATTGACAGGCACTTTGATTTTTATGAGTTTAAAATGTTTTAAAAGGAGCGTGCTTGTTATAAAAACAGTAATACCGCTATAATCACCATGGCTGCATGGTGTCATTAAACGCTAATATGTGTGTGTACTGCAACTGGCATGTGTATGACTTATCATTTCAGAAAGGCTTGAATAAAGTCCACTACAAATACATGAAACAAACTTGGTATTTTTGACTAATGAGCTCTATTCCAGCTGCATCCATGTCTGTCTCTATCAATGACTGCACAATGAAATGAAGCCGACACACAAGTGAAAATGGTGGGCGTGCAGAAGCAACTCATTTGCATTTAAAGCCACAGGCTACTAAAACAGCTACACCGTATTCAGACACCAAAATGGGCTGATTCTGGAGTGAATAAATTATCTGATGGGTATTTTGAGCTGAAACATTACAGACACATTCTGGAGACACCAAAGGCTTATCTTACATCTTGTAAAAGGGATAAAATAGGTGCCCTTTAAAAATATTAATTTTCAAAAACAAAATTTTAGGCTTTAAAAAGTCGTAAATTCACTGAAATATTGTCTTGTGGGTCTTAAATCATTTTAAAGGGGTCATTGTTTTGCTTTGTCCAAGTTTGTCCAAAGCTACTCAATTGGGCTGACAACCATCCAATCACCAACAATACATCTAAATAAAACCTTATTTGTATTTATGTATGTATACAAGTTTTTATTGCAAAGAGTTCCGATTCACAACAGCTGTTAGACATTTTTCCAGCAACTTCCACAAATAAATGTCCTAATCGGAGTAAAAAAAAAAAAAACAATTACACCATTACTCATGGTAATACCGGGTCATTAGAAAAAAAAATCTTAACGCTGCATAAGTCTTAATATTTTATTCTTAATGGTCTTAAGGGGGCCATAAAAGCCATAATGGAACAGCAGGAATAAGAGTATTGCCTTGGTTACTACTGTAAATAAAGCAAGGTGATATAAAATCTGGCAGGACTTTATCAATTTCATAAACTACACAGCATCTCAATATTTGCAGATTAAATTCATGCAGACTTTAGCATAAAACTATGCATTGTAATCACAAAATAGCATTTAAGGCTTACTTTAAGGGCCTTCAGTTTCAATATAATTGATTGATAAACTTTCAATACTCATTAAGACCCTGCTAACATCCTGTATAAACATTTGAATGAGGGCAATTTTAGATAGTAATAATTCAAGGCCCACCAGGCTGAGTCATACAGAGACCTGCTCTGTGTGCTTAAGCTTGAACCCTGTTATTTATCTGTACTTTGCCTCTAATTAATATTGCTGTGGTCTCTTCAGCTCCCCTGTGGACTCTGTGCTGTTTTACGCTATTACGACTCTACACAACCTGCTACTGCACCAAGAAGGAGCCAAGATGGCTGTTCGACTGGCCGGAGGCCTGCAGAAAATGGTGGCCTTGTTAAACAAAACAAACGTCAAATTCCTCGCCATCACGACAGACTGCCTTCAGATTCTGGCATACGGCAATCAGGAAAGCAAAGTAAGAAGCAAAAACTTCTTAATAAGAACAACACTGCTGGATGCTGGAACATCTTCACACAAGAATGTTTTCGTTTTGTTTTTTCTTCAAAAATCTCAAACTGAAACTAAATACCTGTGCTAAATTTGGATTTGTTTTTGATTTGCTCCTTGATGTTGGCACTAGGGATGTACTCAGTGTGCAAATTAAACATTGACGATTAGAGGCGTCAACTTTTTTGTTAATGTTACTGTAGTTTGTGCCATACAAGCTACAGTCATTTATATATTTAATTAAATTACATCTAATTTATTATTTATTAAAACGTATTTAAGTGATCAGTGTTTTGAGGGATATTTACTGTCTGACCTACAGTATCCTCTTAATTATTTCAGGAGTTACTGGAGGTCAAACTATGCATCTAATTTTACTGTATTTAAGGCTATATGTTGATACTAAGCATGGGACGATAACCGCTTTCAAGGTTTGGAAAAAGTTTGAAAACCACAAACATTTTCTGTTATACCATTCCTATGGTAAATGCAAAATATTTTTTACGTCTTTTTTTTGTTTATTTTTTAGGACAACAGTATCTCCAGCAGAAAATATGCCTTTTTCGAGTGGTGTTTTTGAAACGACAGCAGAAGTCAATGATTTATTTGAATTATTTAGCCGGACATGGTTACTGCTCCAAAATATTTCAAATGTTTCTCAAAATAAAATTTATTGAGTTAAGAGGGGAAAAGGTTTTTTTTTTTAAACTCAGACTTTTAAAAATAACTTTTTTTAGAGCAGCAGTAACAACACTATGATACCGTGATATTATAATGCAAGGTTATTATACAGTCAGAATCTAATACCGACCCATGCCTAGTTTATACCAACACCAATTTACCTAAAAGTGTCTTGTGAACACTAACGATGTCCATTGGTGCTCTAGATCTGCATAATCTAACAGTGTTCCATATGTTAACGATTCGAAACGACTTGACAAGCAGAAAGGGATGGTCAAATGTATATTTATATTATCTGTTATTGTAATTATTAACATTATCATTTAAAAGGCAGATCAGTGTGAACTATTTCTCACTAAAAGAGCTGACCCTTCCCTTCAATACATCTTGTTTTGAGGTCTTTCAGTGGGGTCAAGCGTTAAGTTAAATGGGTCAACTCCCCCAACCCCCTGTAAGTGCATCCTGGATGTACTATATGACAATAGTTAATTGTGGTATTTAAAAGGAAAGTTCACAAAAAGTGAAAATTCTCACCCTCATGTGGTTTCAAACATTGAGTTTGATTTTTAACATTTTTGGAAGATATATTGAAGAAAGCTGAAAACCTTTAACTTCCATAGTCAAAAAAATAAATACTATGAAGTCAATAATTACAGGTGTTTAGCATTGTTCAAAATATCCTCTTGTCTTTTACAGAAGTTAGCTAGGTTTTAATCAAGTGTGTAAATAACATGATTATCATTTTTGGGTGAGCTATCACTTTAAATTGCTGCCGGTCTTGTGTGCGCATGTGTGTAGAGCTAATCAGTTTCGTCTAAAAATGATCACATATCCATATGGTTGTAGCAAAAGTTCATGTTGCATATTCAAATACATGTTAAAAGTACCAAACTTTGCATGCTCAGTGATGTTTGGAGCAGCTTTTTCACCTCAATCATGTATCTTGCCTTCTGTTTTCAGCTTATCATTCTGGCCAGCGGAGGCCCACAGGCTTTGGTCAACATCATGAGGACATACACCTATGAGAAGCTGTTATGGACGACCAGTCGAGTGCTCAAGGTGTTGTCAGTGTGCTCCAGTAACAAACCTGCCATTGTGGAGGCTGGTGAGTCAAATAATCGTTTTTTTGTGGCAATTGTTATTGTAATATGAAGTTTGAACACAAGTACTTGGAAGTTTTTATGCAATTATTTAATTTATATTTGAAATAATAATTATTTGCGGATTTGCACCATAACTTTATTAGTTACTATTGATTTTAACTGATTAACTAGTGACTAATAGATTTTATCTGTTAAAGTTATTATATATAAACATAATTAACTTGTAGTCATGTGCTTTATAGTGTCTAGGGGATGTAAATGTTATATTATGTAGTCTGTGTTCATCTATGAAATAGGCATACGTTGCTGATGTGGCAATACATAAACACTCTAGTGTATTATAGCAGATGGACGGTATGAACATGGACACTTTGTGTTGGTTTACAGGTGGCATGCAAGCCCTCGGCCTTCATCTCACAGACCCCAGCCAGCGACTGGTACAGAACTGCTTGTGGACTTTGAGGAATCTGTCAGACGCCGCCACCAAACAGGTAACGCTCAGTCCAGCTCTCGTTCCCTCAGCTCTTTTACGCTGTCTTCTGTTCTTCCTACATGAGCCCTCTCTTTCTGTCTCCCCATTGTTTCCATGGAGAAGACGTCTTTAGCAGAAGTAGATGTGCAGGTAACAGTCATTCCTGCCTTTGTCTGTGATGGGGGTCTCTGGCTGTAGCCAGCTCGGACCCCCCACACAGTTAGGACTTCAGAAGCGTGTCGATGGAGCATGAGCGGATGCTACATTTGGTTGTAATGCCTGTGCTGTGTGTACATTTCATCCAGCTGTTGTTGTGGCGTCAATTCTTGAACTATGAGAACATTATTTTGGAATGGTTGATTGTGTATTTAACCGTTTACCCACTCATGGTAGGCTTACAACCTCATGTAACGTGTAGTAAATTGTTACGAATGGCTGTGGCTGGTCGTGTGCTGGACTAAAAAAAAAAACTGGATGGAGTTGATGGATGCAGACTGTGGATTGAGTAATGCGTCTCACCTCTGGATTGTTCTGATTTACAGGAGGGCATGGAGGGGCTCTTGGGCACCCTGGTGCAGTTGCTCGGGTCAGATGACATCAACGTGGTGACGTGTGCTGCTGGAATCCTGTCCAACCTGACCTGCAACAACTACAAAAACAAGATGATGGTGTGCCAAGTGGGTGGCATCGAGGCCCTCGTGCGCACCGTTCTTCGTGCCGGAGACAGAGAGGATATCACAGAGCCGGCTATCTGCGCTCTCCGTCACCTCACATCCAGACACCAGGATGCAGAGATGGCCCAGAATGCAGTGCGGCTGCACTATGGACTGCCTGTAGTAGTCAAACTGCTCCACCCTCCTTCACATTGGCCTCTCATTAAGGTGTGTCTTTTAGTGGTTTGCTCCTGAACTGTTTTCATGAGGAAGAGGATTTTTTTTTTTCTATTTAAACACCTTTTTTAATTGGACGTATTCTTTCTAGGCTACAGTCGGGCTGATCCGCAACCTGGCACTGTGCCCCGCCAACCATGCCCCGCTCCGAGAGCAGGGTGCCATTCCCCGCCTGGTGCAGCTTCTAGTCCGGGCCCATCAGGACACTCAGAGACGCACCTCCATGGGTGGAACACAGCAGCAGTTTGTGGTGAGTCATGGTCATGTGATCGACTGGCTGAAGCCTCTACTATTTTTGAAAATGGACTCATTTCAGTGTCTAGCAAGAGTTGAACAAATGCCAAATTCCTCCTTGGGAGACGAGACCTTTTATCAATGTTTGTTTTTATTAAGTGGCAAAAGGATTGGGATACATTGAAAAAGAATATATTGTTGAGATGCAACTTAAACCTCAAACAAACATTTTAAGACTCGATCAAGTGATTTCCACCAGATGTCTTCTGGACATAGAAGAATCCGCTTGTTAAGTGTGATGTTATGCAAAGCGGCTTCCTGTTCCAGTCGCTCTATTAAACTGTATGGGGAGACTCATCAAATGGTAATAATAATTGTTTACAGAGCGCTGTAATACTTTTGAAAATTACGATTGCAATATAAACATCCATGCCTAATATCAGATTGGCAGAAAGTGATAAATTTTTTATAAATTGTTCAAATTTTGGTATTTGTGATGCAGCAAGCCTGGAGGCTGATGTGTACCCCCTGATTTTATATAAAATTCACTTTAATGTGTGGTTAAACAAATATTTTCTCAATTCAAATGAGTAGCGGGTTGGAGCCGGAAACAGTATTCCATAAGTCACTGATACATCATGACCTAACAAGTGGATATCTCTTGTTTTTTGATTAAAGGTGAAGAGCACACTCAGCTATTCCTCTTACAGTAAAACACATTCTACTTGACTGTCCTGCTTTTAATAACTACTTTTTAAAAATGTTATATTAGAATATTAGAATTTTTACTGTGTATTAGCGCTAAAAATCATATTTAATTAATGTATTCATTTGATTGTTGTTTTCAATTATATGTTTATTAATGAAACGTTTTTGCCATGAAAATAGCCTCTGTTGCTGACATGGCATTAAATAAAAATTCATCATGAGTTTTTTTCTGTTTAGCGGGTGCACTTTTAGCTTAGCATGAAAGATTAAATTAGAATAGACCATTAGCGTCTTAAACTAAAAGGTTTTCTATCTTTTGTAGTTACATTGTGTACTGATGGAAAATTAAGTTGCTATTTTCTTGTCTAGTATGTCTAGGAACTGTATTCTCATTCCGGCGTAATAATCAAGGATTTTTGCTGCAGTACCATGGCTGCAGCAGGAGCAATGATATTACACGGCATGTAAAAAAAATAGTCCCCATTTAGGTAACTAGACAACATCGTTGTATAATATCATAGAACAGCAGCAAAGAAAAGATAAGGTGGTCTTGTCCTTTTTTGGCAAAATTTTTTATTTTAAATTTTTTTGGTATTCATATGCGAAAAATTTGTCACTTAAGCAAAGCTTGTCTGATGCGTAATAATTTTTCCATTAAGGTTATTGCCAATTGGAGCAGAATTTTTTTTTGTTCATAATTTTCACACGTTAAAAAATAAATTCAACATCATGTTGCATCAATCATATTTTTTAATTTGATCGGGAGGTTTTAAATTATTATTTTTATTATTATTATTTTTTTGTATCTGGATTTAAGGGGTGTTAGTTCAGAGCCACCGTACAAGTGAGAAACAAATTTTTTTACACCGTTTATTTTTACATGCAAAAATTAGGGCCGAAAATTTCAGATTTAGTGTGCAATAACCTTTAGAAAAAATATTAAAATCATCAGTCTTTTTATTTTAAACAACATATGTAGTTTTAAAAATGTTTTATCATGCCAGAATGAGAGTATATTTCATAGCCATATTGCCCTAAAAAATAGCAACTTTTCAAGAGTCAAGCTTTAAATAGAACAATTATCAAAACTAGTTTTTGGGCGAGATGCTAATGGTCTAATCTGATTTAATGATTTATGCTAAGCTAAAATGGCTCCTGCCAGACCTGGTGATTTTTCTGGTTGGATAATAAGAACGTGAGTTGCTATTTCCAAAAAAAGTTCTGGGTAACTTTAAAATTGTTAATACTTGGCACATGCATAAGGTATAGATGTTTTTCTCCGAGAAGGCACTTGCGAATACGGTTTTGGTGTGTGTTTCAGGAGGGTGTGCGTATGGAGGAGATTGTGGAGGGCTGCACTGGAGCTCTGCACATTCTAGCCAGAGACATTCACAACAGAATCGTCATCAGAGGACTCAACACTATTCCACTCTTTGTTCAGGTCAGTCTCTGTCTCTCTTCATTAGTTCTGTCTATTGTTTCGTCTGTCTGTCTTCTATTTGTTAGCTTGTTTGTTCTAGAAATGTGTCTATTGTGGTTGTCAATTTGTCTATTGTTTTGTTAATCCTATCGGCTATCGAAAATAGCCTGTTGCCGACATGGCATCAAACAAAAAGATATAATATCTTTAAAATATATTGAATAAATAAATGAAAAATCAATGAAGTAAGTGAAAAATGAAATATTTTTTATTAGCTATTTTACGATCACTTTAAAAGCGTCTGTTTGTTGCAGTGGTATGCATATATTTAGATGGATTATTCAAGTTAATGGATAATTACAATTAGTTTTGTTCCTGAAAATAATTATTTTTTTTACTGCTTTGAGAAACGGTGTCATGTACGCTAGCATTATGCTTGCATTTGTCACAGTTACAAGTCAAGGCAAACATTTATTTTGATGTTTTGCTATAAAGATAACTGTGTGCTGCTTATCAAATGGAATTTTCAAATGATATGACACAGCTCCGGAGATCATCTTCATGGGTTCATGTCCTCATTTAGACACAACAAACACCCAGTTTTATACTCCAGTGTATTGAACCAAACCACAGCAGTTCATTTCCACACAACCTGCTTCTGACATATAAAAAATGCTAGTCCACCTCTTGATTGGATGTACAGGGCTACATTTTATCCATTCAGGATTCACCAAATTCTGCAACATTTTCTTTTTAAATGATTATAAATTGTCTGTAATTCCCTCATTGTAGGAATCAGTGCACTACTTCTGTTGTTTGTTCATTGTCATCTTTCTTTGTCCTAGTTTCTCCCGTCATTCTGTGTATTGTTCGTTTGTCTATCATTCTGACTTCCTGCCATTCTGTCTTTCATTCTAGTAATCTTTTAATAGATTTTAGCTTTTTTTATTTTTTTTATTGCATGTTTGTATCCATCTGTCGCTCATTTTAAGAATTAAAAAAATGCAAGTCAAATTTGGGTGATTGCTCTATATTTAGATGCTGTCGGTTTCATCTTGTCTGACGTGTGTGTGTGTGTGTCTCTGCAGTTGCTGTATTCTCCTATCGAGAACATCCAGCGTGTGGCTGCAGGAGTGCTGTGTGAACTGGCTCAGGATAAGGAGGCGGCAGAAGCCATCGAGGCAGAAGGAGCCACTGCTCCACTCACAGAGCTCCTGCACTCCAGAAACGAGGGAGTCGGTAAGTGTGCTTGAACAGTAGATGTAAAAAAAATCATCAATATGAAAATGATGACGCTGCCTCCCGAATTAGGGTTGCTTGATACTCAAATATGCCATGTTAAGTATTGTGATGACAATTTTTCAAAATGCTCTTTCTTTCTTAGCTACTTTTTCAAATCATTTATTTACGTAAGGATATTAAAATAAACAGGTCACATATATTTAAACAATTGTATCCATTATATTTATATATTTGTATTTAATTAGTTCTAATTCAGACAAAAATAAATGAAAGTGTCGAATGCAGCACTGAGGTCAAGTAAAACTAGTAACAAGATACAACCTGGGACTGCAGCAGAAGAGAAAGAGAAATTGTTGGTTATTTTGTTGGTTATTTTCACTAAAGCAGTTGTCATACTATGATGAGGCCTGAAACCTGACTGAAACACTTCAAAAACATCTGTAGAAAGAAACATTAATGGCCAGACACTACTTTTTCTAGTATTTTAGATAGGACTGCACTACATATTGTTTCAGTATCAATATTGTAATGTGATCATTCGTAATACACACACATCGCAGGATATATGCAATGTTGAGTTTGTATAATAATCCATCATCTGCATGTGGTTTTAATGCTTGGAATTGTATATTGATTTTTAAAAGCATTCAGGCGCAAGAATGTGTAGCGTTTGTGACTTTTAACAACGATTTATTTTATTGAGCCATTTTTATTTTGATCATTCAGTTACTGTACATGAATACTGTTAGACCCAAGTAAATTTATTTTTGTTGTATCATTATCTTGGTAGTTGTTTTGTAGATTGTAATGCATGAAAACACATGCAAATAGAAAAAATACACTGCAAATAGCACAGACCACAACGAAAGTGTGTCGGACACCCCCAAAAGATGCACTCACTTACAGAATCATTCCAATCTAACATTATAAATGCTTTCCAAATAGAGATTAAGTTAGTTGGTGAAATCGTGATCATATCACAAAGTAAAGAAATATCTCAATTCTAGATTTTTCCAATACCGTGCCTAATTTTAGATAGAAATGGAAGATTTGAAATAGCTCTATAATTAGCCTAGTTGCTGGGATCAAATTGTGTGTTTTCCTCTGTTGTTTTTGCTCTCAGCGTAAGTATTTATTTTTAGTTCTGGGCCAGGATAAAGATAGTAAGGCCCTATTTAATAAACAACCCTGTCTGCGGTACTTATATCGCATGTACTCATATCGCAATAACGCTAATTTAGCGATACATTCTGCAGCTCTACTCCTGATGTCTCAAGATAAGATAAAGTTTGAAGAAACGAGTTCAACTTTCCACAGAGTGCGAATCCAAATCACTATGCAGATTTGTTTAGCGCTGCTCTGCACAGATTTCCACTGGAGGCAGTGTCTGGGGTGAGCGGGACTGTTTTTGTCGGTCACACTAACGTTGCTATCTCTCGCCCACAGCCACGTACGCTGCTGCAGTTCTGTTCCGCATGTCTGAGGATAAGCCCCAGGACTACAAGAAGCGACTGTCTGTGGAGCTCACCAGCTCTCTGTTCAGAACTGAGCCCATGACCTGGAACGAGGTAACGGGGCTCATCTCTGCTAAATCCTGTAATCAACGCTGGCGCTGAGCCCCGCTGTAGATTAAGCATATCAATTCCCAGCGCATTACAGGGGCTGTTATAGCAAATGTGGGTGTTATATTTGCGAATTTACTGGGCAGGTGATTCTTTGGAACAAAGCGTTATTGTTTTTATGAGCCTCGAGCTGTTTGAGAGCTTTCTTGGAACTGATTCAGTGTGTGTGTGGAATTAGAAACTGAAGTGTGTGCTTCTCTTTCTTTGCTACGCAGACTGGAGATCTAGGGCTGGATATCGGTGCACAGGGAGAGCCTCTGGGCTACAGACAGGACGGTAAGTTCATCATTCTCAGAAATGAGATCAGCTCTCAGCGTTGGGGTGTGATGTTCACTAATCCACTGCTTCATCAGCCTTCACCCACCAGGCCTGGAGCCCAACACGCCACTTTCCATGAAAAGGGCATGAGGTTTTGACCACGTGAGGCTTACAGTTAGAAAAGATTGCAACTGTTTTCTTATTTAGCACTAAAGGAGATGTGTGGAAGAATTTGTTGAAAAAAGGCACTCACAAATATAAATTGGGTGTTTATTTATTTTTTTAAGAGCAAAGATATGAATACTGTAGTCAAAAGTAAACTGATTATTTGCATTTAACTCGTATTGCCAGAAATATTCTAATTTCTATAAATATTACAGTTAAAGGCAAATTTAGTTTGATCTCAAGTTGTTATTTTTTTCTTCGAAAATGATCAAAGTATGGCATGTAGATTAAATTAGGGATGCTCATTTGAGTCAATTTTCCCAATCGACAACCGCTGCTGGGTAATCGAATATTAGCCGTTGACTGGTCAGATTTATATTAAATTAGTATTTAGTTAAAAACAAAATGAATTGACATGTCTGTTTTGTGTCTGACAAATGAAATATTGCATTTTAAAATACTGATTTATTTTATCACACGAACACACTGTTACACCTGGTTTAAAGATGCAACATTAAAGGAGATGACATGGCGAAATAGTCAAAACGAATATTTATTTTTAAATAAAAAAATACATTTAGCACAATCGAAAATAAAATAATCAAAACATCAGTATCAGTATGTTCAATCAGTGTGAAAATTGAGTGAATGGATGTGGTAAGTGTCGTCAGCACCAGTGTATGGATGCAAAACAAAACATACAGCTGAAATTAGAGCACAGCTGCCCAAACAGTGAATGAACAGCGGCCCGACAAACTCTCACTGAGTTTAAGTAAGTGCGCTGAAGGCACGCCCCCAACCTAGAAAAGAAAACGCAAACCAAAACAATGCTGTCCTATCACACATATAGATTTTTTTTCGTCAAATTAAAATAACAGTCTCAAATCGATCGCTTCAATAAAAGTGTGCATTTAATTAATGTTCCGCTGTAATTCTTATGTCACAAACCTCTGTCAACAATTTTAATAGAAGTCATTAGCTTAAAGATTATATCTTGAGCATCTGGTTTTACCTTAGAGCTTCTGTGCTTTCATTTTCTGTCTCACATAATTGGACACTAACAAGGCGCATATGTTGACTTATTTAAAGGTATAGGCTAGGCTACTATAGCATACAGTATATTAGTTTAGTTTTTTTCATATAGTATTGCATTAATTTGCATATAAAACGAACGCCTCAGTTTGGTGCAAGTTATCATAATTAAAAAAATTCAAGTGGCTGGATTAGTTTGATTTGTAGATTTGCCTATGTAGGCTATTTAAACAATAGATTTGTTATAAGAACTATTAATAACACTTTTACAAATGGAAGAAAAGATTGATTTATTGATTGTACATAACTTATATTTGTTGCGAAGCGGAGCGCACTTTGATGGACAGAACCCCAATTCTACTACTCGTCCACTGCTTTACAAAAAAAACCAGCTACATATCAGAAAGTTTGCAGCTTCTTTCTCCACTTGTGCAAAGACACTGAGGTGTTTGACTCAGATCCAGGAAAAAGGCAATAAGTGCTGGTTTAGTATCAACGTGTCTGTCAAACTGACCAGTAGTGTTCTGTCCACATTTTACATTTAGCTTATTTGACAAAACACCAGTAGCTGCACGTGTTACTGCCCGGCGAGTTTGAACGAATATGTGTTGCACATTTAACATAACTTAAATACAAAATAAAACAAAATAGTTCATTTCTAACCTTTAACTGATACCATTAATCGGTTAATGCATCCTTTTAGTTAACATGAGCATCCATAGTTAAAATATATTTAAAATATTCATATAAAATTGAGCCTTTTACAATGGAACAATGCAGATTGGGTGCCATATTATTATTTAATAGACCCAAAAAGAAGCTGCGTGTTCACTCTGGTCTGGTGGGTCTGAGGTTGTGCTGGTTTTTAATATGCTTCCTCTAACGTACGTTTGTGTGTGTGTGTGTGTGTGCTCCCTTCACTCCTCATTCACTCCCCTCGTCCTCCAGACCCAAGCTACCGCTCCTTCCATTCCGGAGGTTATGGGCAGGACGCCATGGGAATGGACCCCATGATGGAGCACGAGATGGCCGGGCACCACCCGGGCCCTGATTACCCCGTAGACGGCCTGCCTGACCTCGGCCACACCCAGGACCTGATCGACGGCCTCCCGCCAGGCGACAGCAATCAGCTGGCCTGGTTTGACACCGATCTGTAAATACAATGACTTTTTAGGTGAGGCACGCCAATGGTTGCTTTGATCTGTGCGCACCGTGTGTGGGAGAGTAGAGTGTAAAGCAGCACGCACCCAGTAGCAGAACTAATCTGAGCTGCTTCTCAATTCATTACACGAGCGAGTGTGTGTGTGTGTTTAATGGGATTCTAATCTGTTGTTTGTCCCCCCCCTCTCTCTTTCTCTGCTGCAGCTGTATCGTCTGATCTGAATGAACCTGCATTGTGATTTTGGCCTGTAGAGTTGCTGAGCGGGCTCAAGAGAGAGTGGGCTAGTTTCTCTGAAAGTGCCTGACACACTAATACAAGCTGAGTTTCCTATGGGAACACGTGGAAGTAAAACGTTTGGTTCTGATCCTAGCCGGTCAGAATTTTTGGTGTGATTGACAGAAGAAAGCCCAAAAAAAAAAAGAAGCAAATCCTAAGATGGAGTTTTCAACCTTAGCCTTGCCTGTACTTTTATTTTATTTTTTCTTACTTTTTATTTTTCAAAGGATATCTGGGTCTGTAATGGTACTTATCTAGCTTGCTTTATGATACTCGTCTTTTTATTTTGCAGAACTTTGTATTCCTTTCGACTGTCTCTCTTTCTCTCTCATAGTGTTGAGTTCTAGTGGTAATGATCCATCAAGATTTTATCGACTTTATGGTGTAGAACACTAATTAATCAGTTGAATTGTATTCTTATCAAATGTAACATTGTGTAGCTTTTGTATAAAACCAAGAATTGGAGAAGTCCAAATATCAGCTCTCTTGCTTTAATGAAATCACAAATGTTCCAAAGGGTTTGCAATCAGTTGGGGCCAGTTTTGCTTTCATTTTTTTTTTACTTTTCAGTTCTCGTTTGATTTTACTTTACTGTCTTGATCTATTATGATTATTTTTTTTGATGGTAGCTTTAGAAAGGTTTTTGAAAAGAACCCCTAATTATTGTAGCCTGCGATTTGTTGGTTGGAGACTTGGCTAAATAAAATGGACTTTAAATTTATCCAAACTTGTGGACGTCTTTATTTTTAAATATTACATTCCTTCTAATATAAAAACCTCACAGATACACATTAAATACCAGGAGAGAGAGTTTCAGTGTGTGACCCGATGCTCTTCAGAATGTCTGCAGCCAGTGATTCCACCGTCATGTCTGACTGCGGCCTGGAAAAGAGAAACGAGCACTTTCCATCAATGCAAAACACAATCTGTTAATTTCATTAATTCAGCAGCACCAAACGTTACAGAAACCCACAAGCACACTGCTTTAAGAGCTGGATTGCAGCATTTATCTGGCAAGCACACCTAAGGCTGCACATAATTTTGGCCTGTCATGTGTAGGGTTGTCATGATACTGGAATTCGGTACTGAAAAAAAAAACGTCCATTTCCCACAGACATTTAAGTGAATATTTAAACAGCACTGATTTGCCATTGTGTTTCACTTACTCAACAGAAATGACTGTGATTGGCTATGAAGTCATCAAACTCACCGCTGCTAAACGGATACAGTTATTCATCAGTGGATCACTTGCATATCAGCTTATAGACAAACCAGCTGATTGACATGACTGAAATGCTCCAGTGTCCCTGTATCTGTGGTTACTCGCAGTAAACAGTGAGTTTGGTGAACTGATGACCTTCACAGCCAATCACAGTCATTTCTGTTGAGCATGTGAACACAATGGCAAATCAGCGCTGTTTAAGAACATGCTTAAATGTTAGCGAGAAGTGTACATTTTTTAAAAACTTTACTATTGTGACAACCTTAGTCAGGTGTGTAAAGTAAACCATCAGGAATGCAAGAGATTGACACTGGAAAGATGCAGTGAAATAAACACCAAATTGCCCTTGATGTATGCGCTCAGCCATGTATTTTGGAGGGAAAATAAAACATTTTCAATTTTTCTTATTGCAGTGTTCTGCTCTAATTCATCGTCAGCTGTGATTGGCTTGACTAGACTGACCATGCGCATGAAGGATTCGCTGTTCACCCTCAGGTCATTTCAAACCCCTGATATCTTCATTCATATTCAGAACGCAAATGAAGATATGTTAGATAACTCAGAGAGTACTATCCCTTTAAGGAACGAATCATCATCACTATATTATCTTATGACTGGAATGTTTGGTAAAAGAAGTGAACTCCATTATTTACATGAATGCATTAAGCATGTTCTGCATTAGCTTCAAGTCAATGGTTGTTTACTTCATGAATATGGTAATTAGAGAGCAGTGCCAAGTGCAGACCTGCTCAAATAAGATAACAGCGCTGTCCACGTACATTATAGATGCAGACACCGAATTTCACCCTGTTAATTACTCACTTAAAAATCGCTTTTTTTCTAAATTGAAACTGAGTAGAGTTAACCTGGACCTGAGCTAATTCAATTGCGCTGATCAGTGTTGAGTGCGATTCGTTCACATATCAGGTAGGTGTTTTGTTTTCTGTGTTTTCTTAATCGTTTGCCTGTTCATTATGCAGTAAAGCAAGAAAATAAATCAGCAGCAGGTAAAAGTTGTGTAATATTTCAAAATACAAGCAAATCTGTCCGGAGCTGTAATCAGGCCTTATTTTCTTGAGCCTCTACATCAGGGGTCACCAATCCTGGTCCTGGAGGGCCGGTGTCCCTGCAGGGTTTAGCTCCAACTTGCCTTAACACACCTGCCCGGATGTTTCAAGTATACCAAGTAAGACCTTGATTAGCTGTTTCAGGTGTGTTTGATTAGGGTTGGAGCTAAAATCTGCAGGACACCAACTCTCCAGGAACAAGTTTGGTGATCCCTGCTCTACATGTTTATTGCAAGCATTGGTTGTGAGAAGGTTTCAGAGATGCTGGAACTCCAGAACAATGGTTTAGAACTGCTAGAACGTTTCATTGAAGGAAAATTGGTTTTGTATTCGCACATTCTCCCTCATAATTTCAGAAGTTTTGTAGAAAATTCTGAATAGTAGCAGCCAATGACTAACAAACAACATTGCTCACAGTCAAATAAATAGTGCTAATGTTGTTTTGAAGTCATACTTACATGTGATTTCAGACCGAATATATTTAAAGTAGTGTACTGTCCCCAAACAAGGGACCGTGAAAATTCACAAATGTGCGAATATAAAACTAAATTTACCTCAATCTCCATTCTTATGTTCTCAGTTTATCAACTGGAGTAATCTTTAGGGCTATAAAAATGCTGAGTTTCACCAAGTGGCATCCTCCCTCTCTGCCTCGTGAAGCAAATACAGAAGTAACAAACTGCAATTCATTGAAATTCCACTAGTCCAAATTTCTATTGAAAGAACGATTTTGGTTCTCATAGCTAATATTACCCTTCATGACAACAGTGAGGTGGTGAATTTTTTATAACATCCATTTCCCTTAAATGAGGTTTTATTAAGTCTGCATAATTAAGGGCGTGGCCACTTGAGTGACAGCTATGTCTCGCTGGTCGCCGTCACTTCGCCTCAGCTGATTCTGGCTGATTAGCCGCTGATCTCGGCATATACATCATATTATTGTTTTGTTTTATGCGGCTTTACAGTCAGTTGCCTTGTGGAATTATTTCCTACAATTATCAGACAATTATCAGTTTCCACTCTTAGCCAAATCTCACATTGCCTGACTTTTCACTTAATAAAAACCAGAATTTTCATGACATCCGGTGAGTGGAAAAACAGTCAGCTTTGCAAAATAAAAAAGGTTTTTCATGAATATTATTTTGTATGACTTTAAAAGCTACTATTGATAATTTGCCAGATTTAAAAGCAAACAAGTGAACTGGCCCCTTAAGGAATATATCAGAGCTACATTAGCTTATGATTGATTTGTGTGTGTGTGTGTGTGTGTTAAATAACTGAATTTGTTTATTTAGATGAATAATGTAAAGCATGTTTTGCATTAGCTTGTAGTCAAAAGTTATTCGCAATGGTTGTTTAACCAGCTGCTTTACATAAGAATATAATTTAGCATGACTCTAAAGTCCCCATGAAATCAAAACTGACCATGTGATTTTGTCAACTCATTGCTAGTTTTGTGGTGAACAATTAATCTGTGCATGTCATTAAGAAAAATAAAAAAGTTTCCCCTTTAATTGAAATCTGAAAATGCACTTCCTGTTTTAGTTAAATTCTCAGATTATGTCAGTCTGAGCTATTGGGCAGGGCTTATATACTTAACCACGCCCCTCCAACTGGTGTTTTGACACCAAACAGAAATAATGATGAGGAGTGAATGAAAAGCCTACTTTACTACATCCAATTAGCTCACAGTAGGAAAAAAACAAGCCACGCCCACTGTTTCTCATCTAATATTCTCCAGGAACTTCGTCACAATAGAGGAAAAAAATTATCAGTTTCTGGTTCATGGGGAATGGAATAGACACTATCAGAACAACAATTGATACTTTACCTCGGATTAAAAAAATGCAAAGACCCACCTTTCCTATATTTCATAGTGCTATAGTAGTTATTCACAATTTTCATTCAACTTCTTCTTTTTTTAACCCCCAGTATTTAAAGCAGTCCTTTTAAAGTCAAAGCTCTTAAAATGGATATTTTCCCGGTATGTTAGTCTGCATTTGACAAAGGGACTGCCATTTGATAAGCATAACAGGAATACAAATTAACCTAACATAGCCAAACCATAACAATATATGTGAAACACATCTAATAATAAGTAATAATATTAATAAATACATTAAATAAAATAAAGACATTTTGATAAATGAATCCAATTTTTGATGATATTCGATGACTTAAAAAAATAAATAAAAAAATAAAAAATAAATAAAATTCTCTGACTTTCAATGTCTGGAATAGTCCTTCAAAGTCTCCAGAAACCCCATGACCCGTGTATGAAAATTGAATTACATACCCCTATTTCATAAAGCTCTCTATATTAAGGTATTATAAATATTATCCATGATTTTCTGAAAGCTGGGTTAAAACTGTATTGAAATCTAACACTATAACATTAAAAAAATGGATGTTGATTGAGCTGACTTTGAATAGTACCTGGCCTGCTTCTTTAAAAGAAAGTTCAATTCAATTTCATTCAAAGAGCTCTCAATAGGGCTGGAGGCATGTTGGTGATGTCATCATCCAGTAACGCATTGTTTTCAATAATTCCTTTCTGCTTGGCCAAGAACCTAATATTGCTGAAGCTTTTCCTCCCGAGCCTGGCCGGGCGGCTTCAAAGGGATTCCTTCTGATTGAGCAGGGGGGTATGAAGGGGGGCCCTGCCCTCACAGCAGCCACAATAGGCCTGTAGAATGTGAGGGTGAAGCCTGAGCTCAGGAACGCTCTCATCACAGGCCTACCACATCAATGGATCAAAGAGGAGGGTCTCGCTGACAGACTCCACCAGGGGCTCCATGAGGAGCCAAATGAAGAGCCTCATAAACTCACAGCAAACTTCTGTTTCTTTCTTTGTGTTGTGGAGTAAAAAGAAGGTCAAAATAGCTGGCAGTTGTACACCGTTTAGATGAGTATAGAAACGGCATACTTTACAAAACTAAACAGCAAACAATAACAATTTCTTACATTTAAATAGCGCTTCCTGGACACTCAAGCACTTTACACACATTTTTGGTGGGAATCTCATCCACCACCCGTGTGCAGCATCCACCTGGAAGACACGATGGCAGCCATGTTGGGTTAGACTGCACACCACACACACCAGCGGATTGGTGGAGGAGACAATCATGGGGATGGTTAGGAGGCCAAATTTGGCCAGGGTGCCGAGGTTAAACCCCGACTTGTTTTCTTTTTTGATTTTTAACTAGCAGTATAGAGTTTCCTTCACTATGCTGGGATGTTAGGACAATCACACACCGCAGGTTGAGCGCCCCCGGTTGACCTCACTAACACTACTTCCGGCAATCCAGCTTTCCCATGTGGTCTCCCATCCAGGTACTGACCGGGCACAGCCCTGCCTAGCTTCAGTGGGC